ATTTATTTATTTATTTATTTATTTTAAATAAATAAATAAATAAATAAATAAATAAATAAATAAAATAAATAATATTTTATTTATCTATATTATAGGTATTTAATAGGAAAAAGAAACAAAAAAACAGAAAAAATAGTAAATAAACAGTCCTCCGCTGCCTGTCTCTGCTGCTGCTGCTGCTGCTGCTGCTGTTGTTACTGTAGATGCAGCATCAGCAGCATCAGCAGCAGCAGCAGCAGCAGGAGGAGGAGATTATAAATATTCTGCTGCCCATAGGTCCTGATTATCTATTAATAAGTGTCTCCTTAATTTTGGTGTATCTTTGTCTCCTTCTAGCAGCAAATCACAAGAACTTGCTGTTGTATGCAGTCTTGAGTGTATACTCATCTGCTGCTGCTGCTGCTGCTGCTGCTGCTGCTGCTGTTTGTGTCTTGTATGCTTATTATCTAGGGGGGAGACAAGTGTCTCCTTTTTATTATTATTGTGTCTCCTTTCTGTCTCCTTAGATGAGGAGGAGACACAAAGAGACAATAACTCCATTGCTGCTCTTCTTTGTGCTGATTGTAGTTCTGCTGCTGCTGCTGCTGCTGCTGCTGCTTCTGCTGCTGCTGCCTCTGCTTCTGCCTCTACAGATGCAGCCTCTACAGATAGCAGCAAACTTTCTGCTGCTGCTGTTGCTGCTGCTTGCTCCTCCTGTTGCTGCAACAGCTGCTGCTGCAACTGCTGCAGCTGCAACTGCTGCAGCTGCAACTGCTGCTGCATGCGTACGGGGCCCCCTTGGCTGCGCTTAATCGGCTGCTGAGGTTGTTTTGTATAACGTGCTGCTGCGCTGCGTCCCCTTTGCTGCTGCTTCTGTTGCTGCTGCTGCTGCTGCTGCTGCTGCTGCTGCTGCTGCTGTTGCTGCATGTCTGCTGTTGACGCCTTTGGCAGCAGGGATCCTGTGCTATGAGATCTCCTTGATTGTCTGCTGCTGCTGGCCGCTGCAGCAAGTCTTGCTGCTGCTGCTGCTGCTGATTGCTGCAGCAAAATGTTGTGGCTGCTGCGTGTGCTGCCGCAAACAAAAGGTGTTGCTCTTTTAGGTCTACAGGGGGTCAACGATCTACCGCTTGCTTCTGCTGCTGCTGCTGCTGCTGCTGCTGCAGATGTTGGCGTTGCTGCTGCTGCTGCTGTTGGTGTTGTGCTGCGTGTAGTAGACGTTACAGAACCTCCGAAGCTCCGGTGGGTTGGTGGCGGAGCAGCAGCAACAGCAGCAGCAGCAGCAGCAATAGCAGCAAAGGAATCCTCCGTTGCTGCTGCTGTTGTTGCTGCAGAGCTGTGGGCATAAGCAGCAGCATGCGTAACAGTCGTGGTCTTCCTTACAGCTGCTGCTGTTGCTGCTGTTGCTGTTGTTGAACGCAGCAGCTGTTTCCTGGGTGCAGCAGAGCCGTACTGTCTTAGCTGCTGCTGCTGCTGCAGCTGCTGCAGCTGAGGAGACACCGCAGATGCTTCTCTCCTTACAGAGGCCCTAGAGGCTGCCTTAACAGGAGTCCCTTTTATACACGGCATAGACCACCGATCTACTGACACCCCCCAATCAGCAGCAGCAGCAGCAGCAGCAGGTGCAGCAGCAACAGCAGCAGCATCAGCAGGAGCATGTGCAGCTGCCCCAAGCTGCAGCAGCTGGTGCTGCTGCTGTGGGAAGCCACGCATGCAGCCATTTGCTGCTGAGGTGTACAGGTCTTCTTTATTCAACATACGGTGCTGCTGCTGCATCTGCTGCAGCAGGTCTTGTTGCTGCAGCTGCAGCCGCTGCTGTTGCCGCAGCAGCAGTTGCTGCTGTCTTATACGTGACGCAGCAGGGAGCTCGTTGAGCTCGCGATAAACTGCCTGCTGCTGCAATTCTGCTGCTGCTGCTGTTGCTGCTTTTGCTGCTGCAGCCGGTGCTGCAATATCTGTGACTTGATGCTTGCTGCGCCTCGGTTGCTGCTGCTGTTGCTGCAGCTGCTGCAGGTCATCTGCTTCCTCTGCCAACAGCTGCAGCAGCAGAGCCTTTAATTCCTGCTTTTTCCCCTGCTTCTGCTGCAGTTGCTGCTGCAATTGTTGCCGCAGTTGCTGCTGCTTCTGCTGCTGCTGCAGGTGTACGTACTCCCCATTCCTTGGTACTTCTTCCCAAGTTTGCTGCTGCTGCGCAGCAGCAGCCAAGTGTATAGACACTTCAGTAGATGCATGCAAGGAAGAAAGAGGCCCCTGGGGCCCCTGGGCAGCCGGCGGCCCCTGAGAAAGGCTTTGGGGGCCCCTGTGGCTCCCACAACAAGACCGATAGAGACAGGGGGCCCCTTGGGTACCTTGAGGGCAAAGCCGCTTGTATGTGTGCCTGCATGCAGCAACAGCAGAAGCAGCAGCAGGAGCAAACAAACAAGTATATAGCGGAAGTAGCAGGGACAGCAACAGCATGAAAAGCAACAAAACGAGCAGCAGCAGCAGCAGCAGCAGCACCAGCTCCTGCTGCTGCTGCTGCTGCTGCTGTATGTTGTGTTATTAGTCTTACCTTGGTACAGGTTTAGGTCTGAGCTCGAATGCCTCGCGCTGCAGTTGTTCTGCTTCTTCTCTTTCCCTCTGCAGCAGCAACACAGACAAACAGCAACTCATTAATCGTTGCAGCAGCAGTAGCAGCAGCAGCAGCAACAGCAGCAGCAGCAGCAGCAATAGCAGCAGAGGGTGTGTGTGTGTGTATCTTTCTCCTATACCTGCTGCCGCAGCTGCTGCAGCCGCTGCTGACGAATTGCTGCATGCATATACAGCCTAAGAGAGTGCTGCAGATCTGCGCCTCTCCTCCTAAGGCGGCCATATCCTGTCTGCTGCTGCTGCTGCTGCTGCTGCTGCTGCTGCTGCTGCTGTTGTTGCTGCTGCTGCTGTTGTTGTTGCTGCTGCTGCTCTTCTAGTACACTGGAAGAAGGCTTCCTCTGATGGAGGAATGCTGTTTGCATGCTGGCTGCTGCTGCTGCTGCTGAGGATTTGGTGGTTGTACTGCTGCTGCTGCTGCTGCTGCTGCTGCCCTCCTTATCCGCTCTCCGCCTGCGGCTTGCTGCCCATTTGCTGTAGCCGATTGAATTGCTGGCTGCTGCTCGACGTGCTGCTGCTGCTCCCGTTGCTGCTTGCTGCAGCGGCAGAATCTGCTGCTGCTGCTGCTGTTTTTTCTTCTGCTGCTGCAGCTGATGGTAGCGCAGCAGCAGATTAATTTTCCTCTTTGTTGCTGCTCTATAGAGACAGGTTGTCCCCTCCGAGGCCCCAGTGGTACCCTTAGGGAGGGGCCCCTCCCTTAGGGTAGCAGCAAAAGGGTGGGGTTGCTGTACTTTCTGACGGATGCTGCTGCTGCTGCTGCTGCTGCTGCTGTTGCTGCTGTTGCTGCTGTTCTCGCTGCTACCCCAAGTAGGCAGTGCGATTGTGGATGCTGCTGCTGCTGCTGCTGCTGCTGCTGCTTCATCCGCTGCTCGTGCTGCTGCACCTTTATCGAGCCTTCTTGCTGCTGCTTTTGCGGTTGCTTCAGATACTGCTGCTTCTGCTGTTGCTGCTTCAGCATCTGCTGCTGCTGCTGCTGCAGTTGCTGCTTCTGCTGCTGCTGCCTGAATTTCTTTGTATTGTTTCTGTGCTTCAATCGTAAGAACACCTGAGGGAATGGAGCTCTTGCTGCTGCTGCTGCTCCTTTGCTGCACCTGCTGCCTCTGCTGGTTTTCCAACTGCTGCTGCTGCTGCTGCTGTTGCTGCTGCTGCTGCTGCTGCTGGCAAGACACCGTCAGCAGGGAAGCAGCAGCAGCAGAAGCAGCAGAAGCAGCAGAGGCAGCAGCAGTGTTGATGTCTCTGAGGAAGCAGCTAAATTTAGTAGTGGAGGACAGGGAGATATGTCCGGCCTCTTGAGACACTGCAGCAACTTTTGCTGCTGTTGCTGCTGCTGCTGCCGTCTCTGCTTCTGCTGCAGCAGCGATGGGTGCCTCTTGTGGGGCTTTCAGAAGCCGTCTTCCTCTGCATGCATCTGCTGGCGACCGAACGAGTTCATCTGGCTTCTGCTGCTGCTCTTGTGATTCCTGCTGCTGTTGCTGCTGCTCATGTGATTCCTGCTGCTGCTGCTGCTGCTGCTCTTGTGATTCCTGCTGCTGCTGCTGCTGCAGTTGTTGTTGCTGCTGCTGCTGCTGCTGCGCTGTTGGCGTGTTGCCTGTGGTGAGGGCGCAGCACCGCCTTGGCTTTAACTTCAGAACAGCAGATAGAGGGGCAATCTTTTGCTGCTGCTGCTGCTGCCGCCGTTGTTGTTGTTGTTGCTGCTGCTGCTGTTTCCGCTGCAGCTGCTGCTCTCGCCTGCTGTCGCTGGTGCTACCGTTATTGCTGCTGCTTCTGGTGCTGCTAACCATAGCATCTGCTCCCTCGTTGCAGCATTCTTGTTGTTGTTGCTCTTGTGGTTGCTGCTGCTCTTGTTGCTGCTGCTGTTGCTCCTGCTGCTGCTGCTGCTGCTGCTGCTGTTGCTGCTGCTGCATGGCCCATCTGCTGCCTTCCGAGACACCAAAAATCTTCGCTCTGAAAGCGGCGATGAGCCGCAGCGCCTGTGCTGTCCCTCGTCTGTCTGCTGCTGTTGCTGTTGCTGTTGCTGCTGCTGCTGCTCTTGCTGCTTCTTCTGTTGCTGCACGTTTTGTCGTGTCAGTTGCTCCTGTTGGTGCTGCTGCAGCTACTGTCGTTGGATCTGTTGCTGCTGCTGCTGATTGCTGCTGTTTAAGGAGAGGCACTTCTCGTGCTGCTGCGCGAGGGGATCCGCTACTAGTAGGAGAAGACAGTGTAGCAGCAGCAGCAGCAGCAGCAACAGCAGCAGGAGGAGACATTGCAGCAGCAACGGGAAGATCTGAACTCGTCTTCTCGGCAGCATAACCTGCTGCTGGTGCACCAACAAGGGGACGAGCAGCAGCAGCAGCAGCAGCAGAGACATGCAGTCCTGGCGTAGAGCTTCTCCTGCTGCAGCAGCCGTCTCCCTTCCTCCTGCTGCTTTGTTGTCTCTTCTCCCAAGAGAGTGAGCTGCCAGTAGCAGCAGCAGTAGCTGCTGCTGCTGTTGCTGCAGCAGCAGCAGCAGATTGCTGCTGGCTGCTGCTGGTTAGGTGTATCTGTGTTGCTGTTGACTCCCGCCAATACTCAGAGACAACCCATGCTCTGTCTTGCGGATCTGCTGCTGCTGCTGCTTCTAGCCCGTTTGCTGCTGTTGCTGCTGCTGTCGCTGCTGCTGCCGGCAGCACCCTAGAGCTGCTTCTGCGGATACACAGTGTTGCAGTAAAGCTGCGGGTGGTGCGAGCTGCGCATACACCCGAAGTCTCTGTTGTTGTTGTTGCTGTTGCTGTTGCTGTTACTGCTGCTGTTGCTGTTGCTGTTGTTGTCGTTGCTGCTGCTGTTGTTGTTGCTGCTGCTGCTGCAGGGGTATAGAGGATCTGTGCAGTATTACTGCGGAGACATCGAGGAGGAGACACTAAAGGAGACAGACACCTAGAAGTGTCTCCTTCTTGGTGTCTCCTCCCTCCTTGTCTCCTGCTTCTGTCATCCAAGGATGCATGCAGCAGAAACTCTCGCTGCCGTGTTTCCTCTACCCTGCTGCTGCTGCTGCTGCTGCTGCTGCTGCTGTTGGTAGTACTTGGACTCCCGAAGAAGTTTGTAGCACTTGTAGTGCTGCGTTGCTGCTGCGACTCCTTGCTCTCTTGTTGTGATTCCTGCTGCTGCTGCTGCTCTTGCTGCTGCTGCTCTTGCTGCTGCTGCTCTTGCTGCTCTTGCTGCTGCTGCTGCTTATTTAGTATAGATAAGAAAGGGGTCCTTCTTGCTATAATACGCAGCAAGGAAGGTATAGGGGCCCAAAGTGTCTCCGATTGTCTCCTACTGTCTCCTTTTTGTGTCTCCTCTCTCTGCTTCCTTCCTTGTCTCCTCCTTGTCCTGTCTCCCTGTCTCCCTTCTGCTGCTGCTCCCCCCCCTTCTGCTGCTCCTGCTGGGGCTTCTTCTGCAGCAGCTGCTGCACCACCAGGTGCTGCTGCTGCTGCACACCTCACCCCTTCTAGGCTAACAGGGGACCCTCCTGCTGCTGCTGCAGCAAACTGTGTTAAGCCCTTAAGACCAGATACCCTCCTCTTGCTGCTGCTGCGGCGGTGCCTGCGCGGAGCAGCAGCTGCAGCAGCAGGAGCAGCAGAACTAGCAGCAGCAGGAGCAGCAGCTGCAGCAGCAGCAGCTATGCGACGGATAATTCGTACCTCCTTTAGATAGGAGACAGAAGTAACCAATCTAATAAACACAAACAAACAAATGGAGCAAAATGATGGACCTCAGCAGCAGCAGCAGCAGCAGCAGCAGCAGGAACTGCAGCAGCACGCTTTGCAGTGGCGACGGTAGTGCGAGCAGCAGCAGCAGCAGCAGCAGCAGCAGCAGTAGCAGCAGTAGCAGCAGCAACGGCAGCAGCTTACCCTTTTCCTTTTCTCCTTCTGATGTTGCTGGGTACAGCACATTTGCTGTCATTTCTAAAGAAGAGGTGGGGTGTATAGGCAGGTGGGCCCCCTGCTGCAGGGGCCAGAGGGGCCCCTGCTGCAGGGGCCCCTCTGTCCCCTGTTTCTTTTATTCTTTTACTGTCTCCTTTTCCTTCTTTTAGGGTACAAAAATCTTCTGCTGCAGGAGACACAAAGGGGCCCAATGAGGAGACACCTGGGGAGGGGGCCCTTGGAGGAGACACCATCCCTAGGGCATCACTATAGGGGCCCCGAGGGTACTGGGGGCCCCCCTTTGCATCAAGGTACTGAGGAGGCCCCTCATAGTACTGGGAGAGCCCTGCAGGGTACTGGAGGGGCCCCTCATGGTACTGGGGGTACCCTCCAGAGTACTGATGGGGGCCCTCAGGGAACGGGGGGGGCCCCTGAGGGGGCCCTCGAATGGCGTAAGCTGCATGGTGGGCGTAAGGGCCCCACTTATACATCAAGGTGTCTCCTGTCTCCTCTCCATTTATTGCTGCTGCTTCAGGTGCTGCTGCTGCTGCTGCTGCAGCAGCAGGAGAAGAGGCAAAAGGAGTTAGATAAGAGGGAGAGACAGGAGGAAGGGGGCCCCCAGTCTTGCGGTCATGGGCACTGGGGGCCTCATAAGGGAGACACTGCATTGCAGCTAATGACCTACATGGGTCTGTCTTCCTCTATTGCTGCTGCTGCTGCTGCTGTAGTTGCTGCTGCTTCTGCTGCTTCTGCTGCTGTTGCTGCCGCCGCCGACACGATGGAAGGTCGGGCCTCACTGTCTGCTGCAGCTGTGTGCGGTGTCTCCTTGTCCACCGTAAGCAGCAGCAGCAGCAAAATAAGTAATTAATTAATTAATATATTGGGGTGTATGATGAGCTTTTATTATGTCTTATATACACTCTGGGGTGTATAGGCAGCTCTGCAGTGTATAGGCAGCTAATGATGAAGGAGAGACCGAGGACCACGGGGCTCGAGCGTACTGCTGCTGCTGCTGCTGCTGTTGCTGCTATAAGACAGGGTGTATAGAGACATTTATTTTTTATTACTTATATAAAAAAGAATAAAATTAATTAAATTAAATAAATATATTTAGTTTAATTAAAAAAACAGAGAAAAAGAAGGAGAAGAAGGAAGAAAAAGGAACAGCCACAGCCGCCGCAGCCGCAGCCGCAGCCGCAGCAACAGCAGCAGCGGCAGCAGCAGCAGCAGACCGGACCACTAAGAAGAAACCCTTATAAGGGCCTCCTTCTTATTCCCTGTTTTTATTTATTTATTTATTTATTTATAATTTATTTATATTTAATTAATAAAATATTTAATTATTTATTATTTAATTCCTTTTTTCCCTTTTTTTCTCCTTTTATTCCTCCCCCTATCTAAGACACACCAGCAGCTCACCGCTGCCGATACCGGACTGCAGCAGAAGCAACAGCAGCAGCAGCAGCAGCAGCAGCAGCTGCTGCTGCTGCTGCTACTGCTGCAGTTGTCTCATTCCCTCCTATGTGTATATGAATAAAGAAAAAGAAATAAAAATAAAAAATAAATTGTTATGTATAACTAAATAAAGCATGCGTTGGGGCTGGATGGAATTTTGCTGCTGCTGCTGCTTCTGCTGCTGCTGCTGCTTCTGCTGCTGCAGCATTGAAAATAACTTGCCGTTTATTGTATATATATGTAAATACATATATACATATATGCTTATATTTATATATGATTGTATACATATATATCTATATTTATTTATTTATTTATTTATTTATTTATTTATTTATTTATTTATTTATTTATTTATACATATATACATACGGTGTATGTATATTATGTATATAAATAATAAAGAAAAAACGCAAAATAAATAAATAAATAAATAAAATAAATAAGTAAATAAATAAATAAATAAATAAATAAATATATTATTATATATATTTATTATATATAATAATAAGAAAAAACAAAAAAAAAGAATTTATTATATAAAAAGTATTAATTGTCTTATATTAATTATATAAATAAATAAATAAATATATAAATAAATAAATATTATATAAATAATACATAAATATATATAAATAATAATTATTATTATTTATATTTTTATGTATTTATTTATAAATATTATTATTTATATATATTATTATATATATATAATAAATATATTATTTTGTATAAGGGCTCTAAACCCCAAACCCTAAACCCTAAACCCTAAACCCTAAACCCTAAAATAGATTTATACCAAGGACACCTGAATAAAAAAGGAAAAAGATGTTAAATAAACACTTTTCCCCCCTTGTATAACAAGGAGGAAGGATCTATACAATAATTACTCCTGCTGCTGCTGCTGCTGCTGCTGCTGCTGCTCCTAACAAGACAACAACAACCACATCAGCAGCAGCAGCAGCAACAGCAAATATTATTTTGCATGCAAGACAACAACTATATAATTTTTGGGGCTTTTTCTTCCTGCCAACAACAAATACAAATAAACAAACAAATAAACAAAAAGAAAATGCTCATGAAGGGGCCCTTAGGGTAATCTATACAAGGGGGGCCCCCCTAGGGGCCCCTGAGGGCCTCTGAGGGCCCCCGAGGGCCCCCGAGGGCCCCTTATGGCAAACAAATAAAGGACTATATATATAAATACTTTTCTTCCTTTTCTCCTTTTCCCTCCCTTATCTATAACGACTACACAATAAGGCTAATATATTAGGATCTATTTGTACATAATGTTCTATTCTCTCCTGCATAGTTAGGCCCCCATGTCTCTCATCATATACCCTTCTTCCCCTACTAGGGGCCCCCTGGGTACTGTATGGGAAGGGCCCCCGGGGCCCCTGAGCCCCCTGAGGCCTCTGGGGCCCCTGGGGCCCATGGAGTCTCATAGCTCCTTGAGCCCTCATAGGTCCAGTGGGCCCACCGGGGGGCCCCGCAGTAGTACCCCGTCTTGTAGGTACCCAGGGGCCCCCCGAGGCTACCCTCATAGGTACCCCCCTTGAGGTGTCTATAACATGGGTACCTGCGGGGGCCCCTTGCTGTATACTTAGAATGGGTTGGGGGGCCCCTCCTAGTTGTGCCCCCCTTAAGGAAGGGTGTACAGGATGAGGAAGCCTTCGCCGCTGCTGCTGATGCTGCAGGAGACGCTGTTGCAGCAGCTGCTGCTGCTGCTGCTGCTCAGGGTCCGTAGGAGGGAAGGCAAGGGCAACAACAGTTGTATCTGTTGAGGGTATAAGACCAAAGACATGAATATGTAAGAGAAAAGGAGCATTAGGGGGAGAAATAAGGAAAGAAATAAGAGGAGGATAATTAAATAATCTTAATATAGGCTCTAAGGATATAATTATTGTTAATTGTTCCCTATTTAATAAATTAATTAGGGTACCTAGGGGGCCCCCAATACGACTAGGGGGAGCCCTAGGGGGCCCCACTCTTCTTGTTGTCCTTGCACGAAGGGATAATAAACACATGTTTATTAAGGAAAAAAAGAAGAAAAGGAAGAAAAAGGGGGGAAAGGAAGAAAAATAAGGAAAAGGGGGAAAAAAACCTTTAATTAGGGTTTATTTTCGGCTACAAAGAAGAATAATCAATAAAGAAGGAGAGGGAGCGACGTGTATATATATACGTATATATATGTATATATGTATATGTATATATGTATAGTATTGTTAATTGTAAGAAACTCTATAATAAATGCGATAAAATGAATAAAATCTAATGAAAAAAGGGACAAAAAGACCTATTTAAAGGAAAAAACTAAAGAAAAATAAGAAAAAAAAATACCTTTTATGCATACACCCGAGCTGCATATACACCCGAAACCAACGGCTTGATCTGCGACCGCGACGGGAACCGCTGACAGCGGCGGCGGCGGTGCAAGAGGGGGGAAAAAAGGGAATAAATAAATAAATAAATATAAATATATAATAAAATAAATTAAAAAATAAACAAAAAAACATATTATTCACTAAATATTAACAATTTATTTATTTAATTATGTAACTTGCTGCTGCTTTGCAAGTAAACCATCAGCAGCAGCAGCAGCAGCAGGAAAAAGGGAGGAGAGAGAGAAGGAAGGAAAGTAGGGAACATTTGTTGCTGCTTTTTCTTCTTTTTTCTTCTTTATTATATTAATTATATTTATTTATTTATTTATAAATAAATTTTAATTAAATATACATAAAAAAAGAGCATAAACAGCAATTGCTGCTCTCTTTCCCCCTCCTCCTAACCACTGCCGCTCCATAGAGCCCCACAGCAGCAACCACTGCAGCAGCAGCAGCAGCAACAGCAGCAACAGCAACACATGCAACAGCAGCAGCAGCTGCTGCTGCTCTTTTATACAAAAACACACTGTCAAACTCTTATAACACATGGAACAACTTATTTCCCCTCCTTTGCACACCTAAACCCTAAACCCTAAACCCTAAACCCTAATACACACACACACGCACACACACACATAAACCCTAAATACAATGGACTCAACCTATTATATACATGACACGGGCAACGAGCCTCGTCCTGTGGTGCTGCAGACGCTGCAGCAGCAACTAGAGCTGCAGCAACTGCAGCAGCAGCAGCAGCAGCAGCAGCAGCAGCAGAAGCGGCCGTCGGCAGCAGCAGCAGCTCCCTTGCTAGGGCCATCAGATGCCCGTGATTACCTCGTCAGTCCCCCACCACTTTCCTATGAGCAGCAGCAGCAGCAGCAGCAAGCGCAGCAGCACCAGCAGCAGCACCAGCAGCAGCAGCAGCATATATCATCATTCAATATATCCTATGGAGACAGTAGTCGGGGTGTATGGGCACGTCCTCGTGGTGCAGCAGCAACAGCAGCAGCAGCAGCAGCAACAGCAGCAGCAGCATTACAGCAACAATTTAAACAATCCCCTATAAGACGTTTTATTCTTTTATTTCTTCTTATTGTTGCTTTTTGCTTTTTGCTGCTGCATGCAATAAAAAAGCCCCAAAATATTGCTGCTAGTCTAAGCGATCTTGATGATGATATATGCAAAAAAGGTTAGGGTTTAGGGTTTAGGGTTTAGGGTTTAGGGTTTAGGGTTTAGGGTTTTATATGGATATATGTGTGAGCACCGCCATGAATGTGTATATTAGGGTGTACACACAGTTATTTAATTTATTTGTATATGTTTATATTAATTAATTAATTTATTTATTTATTTATTTATTTATTTGTTAATTTATTTATTTATTTATATTTGTATACATACATATATACTGCATATACATATATATAGTATACGTATACATAATGTATATATACATACATATAAATAATATATATGTATATATAAATATATACATATATATATGCATGCATGCATGCATGCATGCATGCATGCATGCAATTTTGGGGCTTTTTTTTTTTTTGCATGCAGACTACCGTAACAAGACATTAAAATTATCTTTTGAGGCGTCTGCTTCTTCTTTATTTAGAAAGGAGACACTTAATAAGTTCGAGGCTAGTGACATTGTTGCCTATAAGGATAGTTTATACTTTGTAAGGAGACAAGGAGACACTTTTCTTATATAAGGAGACACTTATATATAAAAGGAGACACTTTTCTTATATAAGGAGACACTTAATTGTATAAGGAGACAGTTATAGATAAAAGGAGACAGTTATAGATAAAAGGAGACAGTTAATTGTATAAGGAGACACTTAACTGTATAAGGAGACAGTTATAGATAAAAGGAGACAGTTATAGATAAAAGGAGACACTTAATTGTATAAGGAGACACTTAACTGTATAAGGAGACAGTTATAGATAAAAGGAGACAGTTATAGGTAAAAGGAGACAGTTATACATAAAAGGAGACACTTAATTGTATATGGAGACACTTATTTGTATAAGGAGACATTTATACATAAAATAAGAGGAGACAGTTAATTGTATAAGGAGACAGTTAGGGGTACAAAAGGAGACAATTAGGGGTACAAAAGGAGACAGGAGACAGTTATAGATAAAAGGGGACAGTTAATTGTATAAGGAGACAGTTAGG